AGAATTTCAGGAACCTTCTGTCAGTGGGTGAGGATGGCACTTGTGTCACTTGGCAGTGTCAGAAGTTCACATCCAATGTCTTAGTTGTGTTTTATCTCTCTTGTTTGTCTATTCAGGACTACTCATAGACCCTGCTCTGAGGGGCATCATAACATTCTGTGCTGTTTTCTGCTGGTGTCTGAATACCTCAAGACTTATTTAGTTTTACTTGTGGTGACAGACAACAAAACCCCCAGTGTTTGCACACTGTGAGCAATGGCTCCGTGAAGCTGTGTCCCTTGTACATCTGCTTTGACAAGCATCCCAGAAAGCCTGTGTTCCTCACAAGAGCATCCCTCTTCCTCTTAAAACTCCATTCCTCTACCTCTTTCTTCTACTGACATAACCATTCCTGATTCCTCATGCAAGCCACTGAGTTATGTCCCAGGATCACTTGTTTCGGTTTTTAGCTTCAGAGGTTGTTTGGTTCATCTTCGTTGTTTCCCATCCTGATAGTTGTTCTCAGGTCATTTTCTCATTTCTTTGGGAGGGTCCTATAGAATTGTGTTGCAACCTTTTTAATTCTGTCAGGACATGTGCTGCTTTAGGTTGGCAGCTGGCACGTACCTTGTTTTGTGAGCCTCTCCCCCCTGCTCCTTTGTGAGCCTGGCAGACTTAGGTTGGAAAGCAGGCATTTGAAGGAAACCCACTGGCCCAGTCTCTTGCATTCTTCCTTTTTCCTGGAGAAGTCTTTACCTATTCAGCAGGCATGTTTTGAGTCTTGTCATCTAATTGCTAGAGCTCTCTTCTTGTACTTTCCAAGCAAGCTTGTGTGCTGAAGTTATTCCAGTATCTTCCTATACGTCTGTATTTTCCAGCACATTGACTCCTCCAGTTGGACATCTTCTGGGCCTTTGCTATTGTCTGAAATCCCTGCTTCTTCCCTTCCCCTGAACCCCAAAGTCCCCTGCCCCTTCGCATGACACTCTCTCACCTTGGCCCTGAGTCAGTGAACCAGATCTGTCTTCTTGTCACCCACAGATTAGGACCAGACAGGTCTGGTTTTCTCTGCTCCTCCAGCCTCAGGGAGGAGTCAGACCCATGTGTACTTCAACTCACACCATCCCTCAAGTGAAAATACCCAGATGCTGAAACATCCTTTCTTCCCATTTTCCATCTGCACAGCTCCACCGGGGCAAGTACTTAGCAGAGGCTGAAAGTGACCTTGAACTTTTGCTTCTGACCTCACCCTAGATGTCCCATCTTGGTAAAATGGGGCTTGCGCTTGAATGCACTTCCTTTTTTTTTTTTTTAGGACTTTTTCCTCAAAGCTCTATGAAGTTCATTTTTGATGCTTGTCTCTAGTTAATGTTTCCAGAGAAAAATGAGGACTCGGACCTTCAATGTCCCCATCCTTGCTGATATCAAGCTTCTACTCTCTATTTTTTTAGGAGGCCAGACTCCAAACAAGATGGAGACTCTTCATGCCACATTACTAACGTGCCTTTCCCTGGGACAGCCTCTATGCTGGAAAATGACAGGTCATGATGTTGACACATTGGCCAGAACTCCAGAAGCTGTGATAGACACTCAAGGAAAGGGTTCTCACTTCCTGGAGCAATGCTATGTCCCCTGCCATGGGGGAGCAGAAGAGCCTCCCTGGGCCTCCAAGGACGACAGCTGTTTGGAGAGTCTTATAAGTGACCATTCCAGAATTTCTGAATATCAGAAATTTCTGTGTGAGATTGCTCAGAGTTCTTGGAGTAAAATCCATCTTAGCCAGAGACAGGACCATCAGAAACACTGTCCACAGACTCTGGTGAAAAACAAGCCACAGCTGTTGGCTCTGGTTGTTAACATTCTGAGTTGCATTTCCCACCCTGATAACAATACACTGCATCAAAGAGACAGAGCCCACAGCAGCGGCCACTGCAATAATATCATCGTTCCTGGGTCACCCCACAGCCAGCATGAGGATCACATTGAAACAATGGCCTACCAGGGCAGCAAGGGCCAGGAAGCCGTCACTGACAGCCCCAGGCTGGAACTCCATCAGCAGGTCCCCTTAGGAAAGGAGTCCTCTGAACCTAGGACACAGGAGGACACCAGGCATAGCTCCAGTGTCCCCATTCAACAAAGTGCTCATCCAGGAAAAAAGCGCTACTGGTGTCACGAGTGTGGCAAGGGTTTCAGTCAGAGCTCAAAATTTCAGACTCACCAGAGAGTGCACACAGGGGAGAAGCCCTGTATCTGCCCAGAGTGTGGGAAAAGCTTTAACCAGACCTCACACCTGTATGCTCACCTGCCCATCCACTCAGTAGAGAAGCCCTACCGGTGCCACACCTGTGGGAAAGGCTTCAGCCGAAGCTCAGATCTCAGCATCCATTGTCGAGTGCACACTGGAGAGAAACCTTACAAGTGTGAGGTGTGTGGGAAGGGCTTCACGCAGTGGGCACACCTTCAGGTTCACAAGAGAATTCACACAGGAGAGAAACCGTATAAATGTGGAGAGTGTGGCAAGCACTTCAGCTGTAGCTCAAACCTTCATGCCCATGAGAGAGTCCACACTGAGGAGAAACCCTACAAGTGTGATGAGTGTGGGAAGTGCTTCAGCTTGAATTACAACCTTCAAAGCCATCAGCGTGTCCACACAGGAGAGAAGCCATATAAATGTGAAGAGTGCGGGAAGGGTTTCAGTTCAGTCTCAAGCTTCCAAAACCACCAGCGGGTCCATACAGGAGAGAAGCCATTTCACTGCAATGTGTGTGGAAAGGGCTTCCGTCAGAGCTCATATTTTCAAGAGCACCAGAGAATTCACACTGGGGAGAAACCATACAGATGTGATGTGTGTGGGAAGTGCTTCAGAAATACCTCAATCCTTCACACCCACCAGAGAGTCCACACTGGTGTGAAGTCTTTTATTTGTCAGGAATGTGGGAAAGGCTACAGTCATGCCTCAAGTCTGCAGGTTCATCAGAGACTCCACACTGGTGAGAAGCCGTTCAAATGCCATGTGTGCCAGAAGCGCTTCAGTCAGGCCTCAAACCTCCAGGCCCACCAGAGGGTGCACACGGGGGAGAAGCCCTACAAATGTAACACGTGTGGGAAAGCCTTTAGCCAGAGATCTTATGTCCAAATCCATCAGATAAGTCACACTGGGGAGAAGCCATTCAAGTGTGAGGAGTGTGGGAAGGAATTCAGATGGAGCTCAGGGCTTAGTGCTCACAGGAGGGTCCACACAGGACAGAAACCCTTCACATGTCAGCAGTGTGGGAAAGGCTTCAGTCAGGCCTCATATTTTTATCTGCACCAGAGGCTCCACACTGGGGAGAGACCCTACATCTGCAGCATCTGCTCTAAGGGCTTCATTCAGAGATCACATCTCGTCTACCACCAGAGGGTCCACACTGCAGGGAATCTCTAGGTTCTGCTGTCAGGTGGGCCCCATGCTGCTGATTGTTAAAAGCCTTCAAAACTCAAAAGACTTTATAAGACTTCGTAAGACTATAAGGGACTTTATTTTGCCTTCAAGTCATTCTATGGGCTCATTATGCAAAGGGAAGATACTTTTTTAGCATAGAAACAAAAAAAAGACATATAGAAAAACTTTATGATATAAAAGGAAGAATTTTCAATTGTCAGGAATAGACCCAACAGAAATTACAGTGCCTCATATTAATGCTGAGATTATGTCATTATTAGTAATAATGAAGATTGGCAAAGAGTTTGTAGGAACTCTTTGGCAGAAGTTAGCACCAAAATATCCTAAAAGCAAGTTTATAAAAAGAACTAATTGGATTTTCCCTCATACTGTAAAAAGAACCTCTGAAATTCTGAAGCTCCTACATTTTATACTGATGCAAATAAGTTGGAAATGGCTGGTTACAAGGCAAGAAAAATTGGCAAATTCAAAGCCCATATGCTTCAGTCTGAAAATCAGAGTTGTATGCCGTTCTTAAATTATTAGATTTTCCTGAATCTCTTAATATAGTTACAGACTCAATATGCAGAAAGAGTTGTTTTGGACTTAGAAAGTAGTAAACTTATTTAGGATGATTCAAAATTAACTTCACTATGTATTCAACTACAACAGTGATCAAAAATAGACATCATCTATTGTCTATAACATCAGATCCCATATGGGTCCATCAGGCCCTCTAACATAAGGTAATTAAGAACTTGATCATAAGTTAATAGGAAATGTGCTAGAAGCTTCAGAATTTTATAAGAAATAACATGTTAACAGCAAAAGTTTAAAAGTGATTTTATCTGCCACTTCAAGAAGCCAAGGAAATCTTAAGAAAATGTCCTGCTTGTTCTTTCCATAACCAGACTCCACTACCTACACAGAGTAACCAAAAGATACCTAGAGAAACGAAATTTTGCAGATGGATGTGTTTCATTTCATAGTTTGGAAAATTAAACCTGTCCACCAACCATAACTACATGTTCACTGTTTCAGTGGGAAATTGCTATCATTTCTCAAGAGCTGGCAATGTAATTACACATTTTTTAGACATGGCATTTATAGGAATACCTGTACCAATTAAAGCTAACAGTGCTTCAGCATGTCTCTAGTAAAAGGAAACAATTCTAAATAAAATAAGATGTATAAGCATAATGTTATTGTGCACTCTGTAAAGATTCAAGTGCTCATTTCTGTGCCCTGATGTCTGTTTGCAGTCCTTGTTCTGAGAATCTCCTGTCTTAATATTGTGTAAACATTACTCCCAATTTTTTTCCTGATATGTCAACAAAAAAGCTTAACTGCCAATCTCTTCCCATCACATGGGAAGAGAGAGATCGAGTGTATTCAGGGGAAGAACTCCAGGTGACATGAGAGAGCAGCTGGAGCAAAGAAAGCCATAAAATACAAGTGTCTAGGGAGGTAGACAAATTAGCTTAGAGGGTTTAAATAGATTAAAACTGCTTGGTTGTGCCACAAAGCCATAAATAGAATAGTCCAGTCTCTATTTTTTGGATACTAGCCGAGTTAAGAGAAAAACTGCAATACAATTTCAAAATAACCAGTAACTGCATACCAGGTGTAGCAAGAACTTACGTAGAATCTAAACTTAGAAATGGGTACTCTGGACACAGAGCCATTTCTGTTCATGAAGAGAAAACAAAACAGTTTCTTAGGAATTGCAGTTTATAAGTCAGGAGCTCAGCAATCCTTGGTTAGACACTCGGTGCAGCAGGTCCCACAGCTGGCTGCAGGAAAAGCAAAAAGCTGGCTCTTCAACACAGGCAACTTTCCCAAAGCCAGACACAACCTCCTCAAAAGGACTGCTCTTGGTAGTGCTGCCATTCCACTTCAAAGAGCATCAGAGGGCTCCATATAGAGTTTGCTTTTTTCAACTTTTATTAATTACAATTTATTCACTTTGTATCCCCCCGTGGCTCCCTCCCAATCCCATCCACCCTCCCCCTTCTCCATCCATGCTTCTTCCTCAGTCCACTGATAGGGGAGGTCCTCCTCCCCTTCCCTCTGATCCTAGTCTATCAGGTCTCATCAGGACTGGCTGCATTGCCTTCCTCTGTGTCCTGGGAAGGCTGCTTTCCCCTCAGGAGGAGGTGATCAAAGAGCAGGCCAATCGGTTCATGTCAGAGACAGTCCCTGTTCCATTACTATGAAACCCCCTTGGACACTGAACTGCCATAGAGTTTGCTTCTTATGTGGCAAGCTAGGTACTGGGCAAGAGACTGCCCTTGCTCTAATTGCAGTCAAAGTACTAGATAAACTGAAAGGGAAGTTGACTGGCCAGCTTGGCCAGTACAAAGTAGGTAAGTCCTTCATAATTGCAGCTTCAGAGAAGTCTGTCTCACCCTGGGCCAGAATGCAGAAGAAGGTTCCAGCGTTTTAGGGAAATTTGGGGTAGCTGTCCAAGCAGCCAGCTGTCTCTGTGGTTTTGGAAGTGCTTGCTCTGCACTTCTGGATACTCAGGTAGCACTTGTTCTGTCTCAAGACTGGGGGCTGGAGGCCAGATAGTAATAGTATCATAATTAAGATGTTGTATACGGTTTAATAAAATGTTTTTAAAAGATGCTTTTAGATATAAGGTTTTTTTTAATTTTAGGTTGATAATCACAAGCTATGATAGAAAATAATTTAAGTACAGAACCCTGAACTCACCAAGATAGGGTAGATAGTAGAGAACTGTCTTCAAAATTGCCAAATACAAATGGAATGGACGTTATGAATGTAATTCTTACCTAATTATTTCATAACTTTCCTTATTGTAAGAAAAAATATCCTTTTATTGGACTAAAAGAGGGAGGTGTTGGAGGAGCTTCTTGTGCACAGTATATTTAAATGCTGATTTCTGTGCCCTAAGATCTGGTTATATAGTCTTGATGTGGGCATTGTCATGAATGTTGAACCATCTCCTGTATTAATGTGGTATTCAAGAATGCTCCTCAGTTATCTCTGGTTGGTTAATAAAAACCTGAACAACCAACGACTGGACAGAGGGATAAGACTAGACTTCAAATCTGAGCCAGGGGTCCAAGAGAGAGGAGAAGGAGAAAGAAAGGGGCCATGAAGCAACTGAAAATGAAGATGGTCGACATGAGTTTAGGTCAAGGGAGTTCTCCGTGAAGACAAAGAGCTACAGCAGAGCAAGCCAAGGTGAGGGTATATGCAAATACAGTGTGGCTGTAGGCAGCTAAGATAGCAAAGATCAGGATTCTGTTCAGGTTCTGTGCCTAAAGCTTGTTGAATAAATCATTGGGTCTACATCTTAATTATTTGGGAGATGGCCAGATTAGAAGAAACTGCCACTTTTAAATTTCATCCTAAAGACGTGCTTCTGTTTGGAAGATCAATTTTTTATTCATTCTTTTCTCTCTCTCTTTTTTTTTTTTCAAGATGGTTTCTCAGTGTGAAACTGGCTGTTCTGGAACTCACTCTGTAGACCAGGCTGACCCTGAACTCAGATCCACCTGCCTCTGCCCCCAGAGTTCTGGGATTAAAGGCTGTGCTACCACTACCCAACCTGGGAGATCAATTCTTTATAAATGTCAGAAATCACAGATAAGAAAAGTGCTCTAAAAATGTATGGTCATCATGTACAAGGGTTGCAGGTTTCCACCCTTGAGATGTGACGTCCATCCACGTCTGTGCAGAGAGGCTGAGGGAAAGGTTTATCCACACAGTGGCTGATTGGCAGAATCTGTGCTGACTGAAGTGTCTCTTCCCAGAGGTGGTTCTGCTCTGAATTTGCTGTACAGAGCTGGGCATGGCTCAGGGCCTAGCCATGCCTGGAACAACTGGGGAAGCATCCTGTGACTAAGACTCATATTTGAAAAGGATTTTCAGCCCCAACCCTGCGTTCATATTGATTCATATTCTTCAGTAATGCTGTAAGGGGCCATCAGTCAGTTTTTTCAAGGCCCAGGGCTTCCTACTCAGTGTCTAAAGTCTGCGGGCTGCCTGAGAGCAGTGTGCACAGCCTACCAGCTCCATACTGAATGAAGTTTAGTATTTGTACTTAATAGACTAAAACCATGCTTTTTTTTTTTTTTTTTTAATCTTACGCTTACCAGCCTAATAAGGTGAACTGAAACATGCAATTGGATGTTGGGGCCCTGAATTCATTGGGGACAGGGTTTTTACTGTAACCAATACTGTAATTTTTTTTACAAAGTATTTCCTGGTGGTAAAAAGGCTCCTAGTAAACTTGAGTTGTTAACTTGTTGCTCCTCCTTTCCCTCTAGTCTTAGGTCAGATTGTCCTTCCTGACCCAGGAGTCTCTCTGAGGATCTGCCCTGGATTATACATTTGTGCTGCTCTCACAGATTCTCTAGGGCTGTATCTCAGATCAAGAACAGAGTTATTTCTTACAGCTCCAGGGCTCTGAAGGTCAGGGGTCAAGCAGGGTCTTACTGTGTCATCTGATAGCGGAAGTTGTGCAATAAACCTAAAACATACCTTAAAGATACAAGGAGAGTGCAGGGAATCTTGTAAAAGAAGGGGAGATAGAAAGACCTGGAGGGGACAAGAGCTCTACAAGGAGAGCAACAGAACCAAAAAATCTGGGCACAAGGGTCTTTCCTGAGACTGATACTCCAACCAAGGACCATTCTTGGAGATAAGCTAAAATCTCTGCACAGATGTAGCCCATGGCAGCTCAGTGTCCAAGTGGGTACTGTAGTAAGGGGAACAGGGGCTGTCTCTGACATGAACTCAGTGGCTAGTTCTATGATCACCTCCTCTAGAGTAGGGACAGCCTTACTAGGCCACAGAGGAAGTTGATGCAGCCAGTCCTGATGAGACCTGATAGGCTAGGGTCAGATCGAGTTCCACAGTTTTTTTTCTATAACCCACTGGCTCTCAGCTGCTATTGTTCCTTTTTCACTAACATTAAGAAAATTTAGAGTTAACAAAGTATTATTCAGCCTGTCCCTAGGGTCTTTACCTGTCTTTGTTGAATGAGCATCTCTTTTAGGATTCGCTCTCTACAAGCGCTTGTACTGCAGTGTTGTGTGGGGTACCAGTGATGTGCCTTATTTTGCAATATGCCGGGAATTGCTTCATCTTACTGGGCGCATTGGCAGGAGCATTGCAGCCTTCATTTGTAAGGGGTCCCCAAACCTGTCATTATCTCCAATAAATGTGTAATTATACAATCAGCCTTTTCAGAACTTACAGCAGTTGCCCATTGAAACCCTGGATCTGTATCTATGGTATGGTGTACATACTCTTGTTTTCCAAATTTTGCAAAATGAAACACATTTATTTGCCAAAGTTCATTTCTTTTTGGTACTTGTAGGCTTACTTCCAGGTCATGGAGTTTGGTTATACAGAGAACACGTAGAACATTTTTTTTTATTCTTTGGTTTGTTGCCAAATGATATCAGTTTTTTTTTTCATTAAACATAAAGGTTTTTATAAATGTTTGAGGCTTCTAACATGTTTCCTATTAGTAACTGGTCAAATTCCTCATTTCCTCAAGCCAATGGACCTGGAATGAAACCAAGTAATATATAATGGATAGTTTCTACTTCTGATGGCCTGTTGAAATTGCATAAGTAATAAAGTTAATTCTAGATTATCAGGAATAAATTCATCAGTGTCTATATGTAAAACAACTTCTTTCTGTATGAGAGTCAGTAGTTATATTAAGAGATTCAGGAAAATCTAATAATACCATAAGGATTGCATACAATTCTGAATTTTCAAATGAAGAATGTGGCCTTTGATCACCTTGCTTATTTTGTTTTAGTTATGACCTGCCATTCCCATCTTGTTTGCATCAGTATAGAATGTTGGTGTTCCCTTTACAATTTGTGGAAGAATTCGATTTGTTCTCTTTATAAACTATATACATTTGTTTTTAGTATATTTGTTATACAAGCTCTTTGCCAATCTTCATTGATCACCCACAATGACATACTCTCAGGGTTAGTAAGAGGCACTACAACTTCATCAGGTCTGTTCCTGACAACTATCCTAGTCTTCTTCTACCTTTAATAATTAATTCAGAAATCTTTTCTATATATGTCTTTACTTTTGTACTTTATGTGCTAAAAATCCATTCCATAATACTATCTTTCCTTTGCATAATGAGCCCAGTAGGAGAATGAGTTGAAGGAAAAATGACCAAAATACAATCAATT